AGAGAGAGAGAGAGAGTTCGTTAGAATTTCACAAGTAATTCTAAGGGTGTAACTCTCAGAAAAGCTGCGAAATCCGTCATACTGATCTGCAACAAAGCAATCACTTTCAAGCCATGCAAAAATTTGGAAGAGACTGAGCGATTAATATAGCGCAACTACCGACAACACTTGCGCGTAAACAGGTTGCTGCGCCTCCAATGCAAAAACTTGCGCATAGAGAATGGATAGAGAGCAAATGAACTTTTCCTTTACGCGCAAAATTTGTCGGCACCGTACAACACATATCAATCGCCCAAATCTGCTAGACAATACATTTCAAATCCTGAAACTATACTGTCGCTTCTGAAATCCACACTCACCACGCGACCCACCAGATTGTCGTCGATCAACCGGGTTCGAGTCTGTTCGGGAAACCGAATCAGTCGCACTCCGCCGTTGTCGTTGTTCTGAGGTGTCTAAAGGAGATGGAAAATCAAATGTGGTTGGTAAGGAGCAGGAAAAACCTTTTTAAGAAATCAAGAAAAGACAAAAAACTAAAATAATATCAAGACACGATCATCACGAACCATCGAACGGCGTACCGTATCGGTCTTTATTCAGCGAAGATGACATTCTCAACAGTTTGTGACGATCGAATCGCTTTCGTGTGGACTGCGACTCATCGCGCAAATTGTAAGTGATGATGAGGTTTTTGCAAAAATTCTCTGCGAATTCTGGATACATATCCAGTACATCGAGCAAATCATCCCTAAAAATGGATATGTTTTTTCATCATTCACAAAAACCTTTCAATAAATCTTTTTACCTGAGAATTTTATGCAGATCACAATATGTCAATGCACGGACATTGCATGATGACTTGCCAACTTCTTCATACAACAGCGGATTTTCACCAAATATGTCATCTTTTCCTAAAAAAACATAAGTCATTGGCCAACATTATAGTGTACTAGCTGACATACCCGCCTCCGCCCGGTTCAGTCAAAACACTATGATATAGGTCCCATCCCTATTTGTGCA